TATTCTAATACCTATATATCCTTACCAGTCGGTCCCTTGTCCCCCTTTGCTCCTGGTGGGCCAGCCGGCCCCATGGCGCCCTTTTCTCCCGGGGGCCCAGCCGGCCCCATGGCGCCCTTTTCTCCTGGAGGTCCGGGGGGTCCGGCACACGCGGTAACGTTTGGCTGGTTTTCTGGAGAAAAAAAAGGATTGATCTTGAATTAAATAAAGGAACGTGCGAGGCTCACACCTTTGGATTGGAATGTATAAAAGGTGAACATCGTCAGAAATAAATTATATAAATCAGGGTCTCATTTGCAGAATCACTGAGAAAATGCTACTATAGCCTTCTTTGCTAACACTTTCATACTTGGGACAACATGTGTTATCTTGGTAGATAATACCATCAACTCATATGATTTATGCAAATGAGGACTTCCATCCCATTTCCTGTGGTGTCAACCTATACTTCTCTCTCACACACACAAAACCACAGACAAACCCACCCATAACAATACTTCTATACCGGGAAGTAAAAAAAAGAAAGGAGTACTTACCCAGAGCCTTTGCCATATTATAGACAAGCTTTTCCAAGGCGGCCTTGTCTCGTTCCAAGGCGTCAACAGTGGTGGACAGTTGGGATATGTTGTCCAGTATCAAAGTGTCAAACGTGAGGGACAGCTTGTTCATTTCCTTTAAAAAAATTAAGAAAACTTAACTTCAAAGTTTCAGAAAGAAAAGAGCTGTAACTGCCCAGTACGGTTATACTGGCTATACTGATACAGACACAGATACCTCTTTATTGATGAACATCAGAGGGGCGAGTCCCACGGAGACCAGGCTGAGCAGCACGGCGATGCCGGCGGCCAGGCAGCTGCGGTGGGACCGGATAAAGCCACAGAGACCACTGCGGCGATTTGCCTCCTTCTCATAGCTGCTGTCTGTAGAAAAACAATCATCAAAACGATAACTTAAAAAAAACGCTCATCGAGGAAGAAATCAGAAACGAAGGAGGAAAACATATTGTTTTTACTCAGTTTCTTCCTCTTCTGTTCCAAACACTAACCTTTGACCTGGCCAATGACGTTATTTGTTGACGTCTGTCACCATGGTGACTGGTGTTGGGTTACATAATGTTGCAATGGGGATCGAAATAAACAAACAAACAAACAAACAAACAAACAAACAAATTTCATGGTCTTCTCTACTCCTGTCACCATATACTCGTAATACATTTATGTGAAAGTGTTTGAGTAAAAATTAACAGGGCAGACCATGTCCGAAGGTAAACATTATGCATTTGCTTTACAAATGTTACTTTTCTAGTTGGGTATTGGTTTTGTTAATTTTGATATTGAAACCGTGGAGGGAACTGTTGCCGAGTGTTTTCATATTGCAATGTAATATTCCTTTAGAGGTGAGAGAAGAAAACCTATCAGATTGATTTTAGTTTATTTTCATTTATTTTGTCTTTTTCTCGACTCATCAACCCATTTGCTTTTCTACTGAGTTGATTCTGTGTATGTACCAATTATGCTACTCACCACCTTTGTTAAAATATACTTTCAGCTGAATGTTGTTAACATTAATGTATTACCAACGCTGGTTGGAACTCATTATTATTCATTGCAGTCTGTATTAATTTTATTGCTTATGTCTGAATGGAATGTCTGTACCGTGCGCACTATCGCCTAATCTATGTCTATATATCTACCGCCTATGTTTCATTTTGATTTGATTTGATTCTGTACCTTATGTATTATGTTTTCTTTTGTTGGTATCTTATAAGCCCATTTGGGCTGGGTGGCGTTTAGTCGCAATACACTATAATGAGCTTTCCTTCATTAATTCATAAATTCATATTTCTGTATCTGTATATGTATCTGTATACGTATCTGTATATTTCTGTATATAACAACTAGAGAAAAAATATAACATGTTTATCATAAGTGAGCTAGCGTTATATGCATTTTTGTTAAATTTGGAAAGCTGTATAAAGCTGGGAGACATGAAAAAGCCTGACTGGTGCTTCCCTGTGAGGCAGACTAGTATCGGTTCGTTAGCCGGTTTCCTTCGGTAGCCGAGAGCCTTACGCCCGCCCCGCCTATATAAATCACCTCTACGGCAGAGTTGAGGCCGAGGAGATTTGCACGGCCCTATTACTAGTACCCGTGGGCCGGCCAAACTCCCCTCGACCTCAACTCCCCTGTTTTCGGGAGGAGGCTGGAAAGAGCAGAACTTAAGCCAAATAGAGAGATAACATTCCAGGTCCGCTAGAGAGTACATTTTGCCGCACCCGTGTGCAGACCAACTCCACTGTACTGGAATGTTATCTCTCTATTTGGCCAATTTCTACTCTTTCAGCCGCCTCCCGAAGCCTGATAGAGGCTGGGGGTAGGGCTGTTGGCTACCGAAGGAAACCGGCTAACGGTCCGACACTAGTCTGGCTCCCGGGGTAGGCTGGTACGTACCTGCAGTCGTGTCGGTGTACTTCGCGTGACGCTTCACCGCCTCGGCCTCTTCGTACGTGTGCGAAGACGTTCCCTGGTCGTCTTGCACCTCGTCTGAAGACTCGTTGCCATGGCGGCCACGCCCTCCGGAGCCCCCCTGATGACCAGGTGGTGCATGGGACGGCCGCCCGCGGGTTTGGCCGGAGCCGGACCGCGGGGGAAGGCTTCGGACGGGCACTGCCTGCTCGTACATATCTGGTCTGTTCTGTGCACGCACCCAGCAAACAGTGTGTTACTGAGAAAGATGCATGAATTTTACAAAATAATACCATAACTAGTCTGAAGACGTAAGCACATTTATGCCCTTATATGAAAGAAATGGTTGGGTATCAGATGTGTAGATGGCATTTTGTTTTTCTGCCACCTACCGACTAATTATCGGGGAAGAAAAGTGATTCTAAGTTTGATGTCCACGCTTCAAAGTAATCCTTTCATAAGGAACTTCAGAAGAAGCGTTTGCTGGATTCTGGTGCGTAATTAAATAATTTTTTCTGTCATATGTGCGCAGCGTCCTTGCCATAGCTTTACTATTACACATGTATCTCTGACAGAGAAAACGGACTATTCCATGAGCACACGCATTCAAAAAAAGACGCTTCTCTCCAAACGGAGGTTTAGGCTCCGACTTATTTTTTTTACGTGTTTTTATGCGTTTTAATCGGGCTCTATTTCTGGACTTTTCTTTGGAATGTTCAATTTTGATCACTTGGGCGATTTTGGAACTTTCTATTTTTGCGTGTATGTATGTATGTATGTATGGGGGCCTGGCTACACCTCTGACCTGGCTATACCTCTGTTGCAAAGTCTGTCTTGTCCCCCCGACGACCAGTGTCGGTAATGGGACTAGCTATAGTATAGGTAGGTAGGTAGGTGTATGGGGAAGTGAAATGCTAGGCATTTGCTCGCAAGTGTTGCTTTTTTCGTTAATTACTTGCGGTCCTTTTGCAAAAGATCACAGCATTTTCAGCCACGCGACAAAACCTGTGTCTCAACAGGGTCATACAGATACGTAGGCACCTTCGTGGGTTATATGAAAGAAATGGTTGGGTATCAGATGTGTAGATGGCATTTTGTTTTTCTGCCATCTGCCGACTAATTTTCGGGGAAGAAAAGTGATTCTAAGTTTGATGTCCCCGCTTCAAAGTAATCCTTTCATAAGGAACTTCAGAAGAAGCAATTTAAAGACTTTTTCTGTCGCATTTACCACACACATTGATCAACCAGCTGCACTTCCTACATGTATCAGTAGATGTCGCTTTTGTCAGTGTTGACGAGGTGGGGTTACCTGAGGTCAAAATTCGGTACCCGGCATTCCCGTCTCCAAAATGGCCGCCGTCGGAAGGAACGGGGGAGGTGGGCGGACAAAACCGCCGCTTTCGCCGATTCCTGTGGCTTAAACTTGACCTTTACACTCGCAAAATCCTTACTAAGAATGTCAGGGAACATTTGGACTTGAAGCCGGACATCTAAGCACTGCGAGACACATGCCAGAGACCTAGAAACAGCCGGTAACACTACGGTACGTTTTTTTTTGCTTCTTCACGCTCGAAGAAAAATTATTCGTAGCCAGTCACCCGATGTTGCTGAATATTACACATCTCTCCATCCTGTCTGTTTCCCCGTAATGCCTTAGCCTTCATTCGTATTCAGTGGACATTACCCTTGAGAAAATGTGTGTTTTTCGTAAGAGGAAAAGGACGAAAATGATGACCATATCGTTTTAGGTATGGCTCCATAAAAATTTGCTAACGCTTCCGCCATATATAGAAGATATACCTTTAAAGTTTAAAGTAAACCATATAACGTTACATGTATTTAGGAACATTTTTGTTTGATTTACTGAAATTGCAACAGTTCAATACACGTGGGACACAGGCAGCTGTTGCTGGTGTTGTGTCTCACACATTCAGGAGAAACAAATTCAGGAAAGACAATACTCATTTTCACTTGCGTAAAGTGGGGAAACATTTTCTCACGTTCTTCTACTTCCAGGGGCATCCAGCAATCAGTCTTGATACCCACACCACAGACAAGGAGACGTTCTTGTGCCTTGACTGTCACAAAAAACAACAAACGAAAAAAAAATACATATTTCGTGATAGGTAGTGATGTAGTGATATGACACATCCACACTACCTTTATGATCGTGACTTCCTGGTTAGGATACCTCTTAGGAGCTGAAGTTGCACACATCTTACACCTCTTCTTGGAAAGAACCTTCCCCAACTCCTTGAGAAAGCTGCAGACCACTGGAGACTCCTCAGAACTTGATGTAAGGAACTGTAGTGCTTGTGCGTGTACTATGGGGAACGCTTGTCTGTGTCGAGACCAGGACAGTACCGCAGATGAGGGGGAACATGGAAACAACGCGTACACGAGTAACCCGCAGTCAGGATGGACTAACGCTGCGCCGGTTACTAACAACCACGCACCGGTAGTGACCGCCGCGAGTGATCAGGGCGACAACCGGGACCGGAGAAGACCGCCGAGGCGGCCGGCGCCGCAACCGCCGGTTGCGAGGGTGGTCGGGATGCGGCCGAGGAAAGTGACCATCGACGAACTTGTGATGAACACGCTGGCGGTCATACGGGAACTCGTGGACAAGTAAGTACATATAGAATACTGTTAGTGTGGTCATGTGGCGTAACCCATGGAGCATTCGACATGTGCATGCTCTTAACCCTTGTCCTGCTGGCAATTTTTTACACAATATTTTCAAATAATTTGATGCCTTAACCAGGTCATAGACCCTTGACTTTTTTTTGCCCTAACGTAGCGTAGTTACTTCCGCATTCATTGCGTTTTGCTGTGGTGTGATGCGTTGCGCAAGAAATACCCCCAAATTGTACATAGGCAGGGTGCTATATAGATAGTACTGTAAGTGCAACCAATAAATATATATATGGGTCCCGCAGGACAAGGGTATCCAAGTGTCAGAAAAATAATAAAGTCATTGAATTGATAGTACTTCTCTTCAGTAAGGCCATGTTGATTTGATTATATGGATGACATCCTCTGGGAACCCCAAAACTGATGCGCGCGTGCGAATAAAAAAAAAGTTTTGCAAAAAAAAAAAAGTTGCTTTCACTATGAAATCTACGTGGTCAAGAAGGTGGAACAAACGGCACAGAATATGTTATGGCGAATAATCTACTCTTCGAATTCATTTCTTTACATTTTTGTCCTTTTTCCTTTGATTTTGGCATTCTATGACATTGGTATCGTTTCTAAATGTTTTCCTTGCAACTTATGGTATATTTTTGCTCATTTAGCAACTGTTTTGCACGATTTACAGTATGGTTGAAAACTTTTTTTTTTTTTGGAAACGGCCGAAAATTCATGCGCGCGCGGATGTCATCCATATAATCAAATCAACATGGCCTAATAGAACATATTAGTTTTTGCTGAGTCAGACATTCTATGTTACTTATTTTATCTTATATGGTGCACCCCCCAAAATTTTTGTGCACCCAAAAAAATGAATTTCAAGCCCTGATAAGTGTGATGGGTTCTTTCATTCCAGCCCAAACATATATATGACCTAACGTCATGCATCTATTGTGGATGCTCTTCCAGAAAGCACCATATGCTCCAGTATTGATTTGTGGTGTACTGTCCACCTAACTCAGCACTAAGGCTAGCGCTCTTGATAACTGGACAGGTCATAAAAGACATGCTGTAGAATTAAGGACTTCCTATCTACCTACCTAGTCCCATTAAGGACTAGGCCTAGAAAAACAATTTGGTGTTTCTGGTTAGACCCTAGCAAAAACCTGCTCGCTGAAGCCTTTTTTTGGGTTGATCATTGGCAAGGCCATGAAAATGAAATATTTGATCTGACAAAGAAGACTTATCAAAATGTATTATGAATGAATGACAACCTTTATTGCACATTTTTGCCACACTGGGCTAAGTACTAGTACAGGTCAAAACAAAACATGATAAACACATTGAACAGATATGTGCAAAATAAACTAGCTATCATTAGATAAATTCAACTTCTCCCTGCTTTTCAGTTATTGCTAAAGAACAGATTTTACAAGCAAAATTTTGCTGTTTTCTCATTGATGTTTTCGTTTTTTTTATCAGCATGTGTTGTGTAAGGTATGCTGCCCCAAAAGAGTACTATTAGTGCCGTCAGTCAGTTTGGATATTTGATACAGAGTCAGTCATTGGCCTGTATGATCTCAGCTGCCCATGTCAACCACAGGTCAAGTGTTGATGACAAAATTTATCGCCAAATGTTATTTTGTTGGCCACAACCCTCTGTTCGCACCCAAGAGCTGAATTCCACCAACCAACCACACTCGTAGGGTGTCATATTTTGGCACCTTGTGTTCCTTAATAGCATTTAGTTGCAATGGTGTACTAAAAATGTGAGAAAACTGACTACAAAAACCTACTTTTTGTATGGTCCTAATGATACATAATTGTGGCTTAATGTTACATAATGTTACTTAATGTTACTGTAAGAAACTAGTATCATATACCATCGCCACAAGTCAAAACAAAAATGAAACAAAACAAACATTCTGACTTTTAAGTTTTTGTGGTTTGTTGTTCTTCCAGTGAACAAGAGCCGCCGTATGCCATGTTGGCCCTTCACGACATCGCAGAGAAAGGTAACAATTTTTTTATGTTATTATTGGGTGTGGTAGCTACGCTCTCCTTGTAGCCAAGGGCTGAATTGTGAGGAGCTTACAATTAGTGGGGCTAAATCACAAGGGTGTAACCTGCAGTAACTCAGCCGACCTCTATACGACCCTAGCTAGGTGCGGCCATACGACTGTAAGGTTTGAATCACTCACACCCCAGAAAGGACCCCTACTTTCGATAAATATGGTATGTTCTTTAACGTGCATGGGGTGTGGCTCTCCCCAAACACAGGAACTCCATTTCACTTAATTTCTGCCCGAGGGATGCCCCTATTTGAAGCTAGGTACTCATTTTCACCTATGAAGAGTGAAGTGAGGAATTTTTCCTGGACTGAAACCGTAAACACTATATTAACTTGCCTAGGCCTAACTTCATTTGCTTCTGTCTTTTACCCATGTGTTTTACAGCAACCCTACATCTCTCAAACTGTAAACCTTAAATGAACTCATCTATATGCAAGAGAAGAGATGAGTGTAAGGCCCAGGGAAAAAATGTTGTGTTTCCAGTTACCAGACTGAACCTAGAAAAAAAGTCTCTTTTTTTTGGTTGGCAAGGACGTAAAATTTCAACCTAACAATAACATCTTATCATGAGCCATAGAAATTTATTGACTCTTTTTCTGACATGTTTTCCTTTCAACAGAAACCCTGATATAAACGCAGGATGTCTAATAAACATTGTGCTTCTTTCTGCAGTTTACTAAATACTTGTAGACTTCTATCAAAATACTATATATGTACATGTACTATATTTGTGTAATTGAAATATGATGTTGAAAAAAAACATCTGTGTCCATAATATCACCAGGGTCCATAATATCACCATCTTGAGAAACAGTGTGCTTTGAGATATTTTTACTGCAACATACTTTTGGTATGCACTCCTTCACACCTCAAATGTACATACCTAGGGTATGTTGCAGTAAAAATATCTTTAAGCACACTATTTCTCAAGGTGGCGATATTATGGACCCTGGTGATATTATGGACACAGATGTTAATGCATGTGATTTTGAGTTAATATTTTTAAACTGCATTTCTTGGAGCACAAAAAAAGAGAATCCCTACGTGCTAACCCTAATTTTTCTTGACTGGAATCAGGAACAGCACTTTAATTTTCCTAGACCTTGCCTCAGTAAACCTGGTAGTACAAATCACTTGCTACAAATTATTAACTTAGTACGCCTTATAGCGCAAATCACTCACTACAACAACAAAGCGACCGTACAATATGTACAAATTATCCCATCGCTCAACTGTGAAATAACTCTTTTGTGGCAAAAACGACAAGAAACATTTGAAAAATGATCCAATCTATCAATGTGTTTCCCTTTGTGACTATGTCCCTTGCTGTAGACTGTCAAATTTCATTCAAGGCCATCTAATGTAATTAAGTTTCAGCCTTGGATGGTGCCCGACTTACCGGGTCAATGTCAAATCCCCATGTGTAGCTGTATTAGCAAATATGAAACATCGATTTGGCAATGCCCTACTGAAAAAAAACACTACACAACGGGATAAATTACAGAGATAATTTCCGAACGTTTCGAGTGACACCCACCACTCTTCTTCAGCGACACTAATGAACTAACAGAGAAAATGACAAGAATTCTGTTAGTGATGCTGAAGAAGAGTGGTGGGTGTCAGTCGAAACGTCCGGAAATTATCTCTGTAATTTATCCAGTGGTAGACTTTGAATTTCCTATGAGCATTGTTTACCTGGATGCCTAATACAAATGTATTAATATCTATATATGATGCGCAGGGAAAGTCAGTGATTTAGAAGATGAGTCACGTCCTGCTGACTTATCGCTAATTTATCTGTCTAAGGATAAGTGTCTCTTCTATATTTCATGGCCCAAGTTTGGCCCTCTAGAATCATGTTGTTGTTTCCTATCACCATCTGCATCACCCATAGTTACATTTGCCTGGTACATTTCCATAAAAGTTTGGCCTACTACAATATTTAAACAAGAAAACAGCTTTATGTACTGGGAAAATGTGCTAATTCTTGGAACTCGCAAGCTGTGTTCAGTATATTCCTTTTCATTTGGAATCTGGCAAGAGATTTTTGTTTGCAGTCATAGAAAATTCAAACTCTACTACTACTGGACAAATTACGGAGCTCGAGATAAATTCCAAACGATTAGAGTGACATCCACCACTCTTTTTCACTCAAAAGGTACGGAATTTATCTCCATAATTTATCCAGTAGTAGAGTTTGAATTTCCTATGAGTATTGTTTACCTGGATGTCTAACCTTCACCAACTGTATTTCTGTTTTTTTGTAATCACATGTAATCACAAGACGTGGTGACGGCACACTCAAGTTTTTTCAACTTATATTAATGCCACCACCAACACGGGACAATACAATACTCATTTTCACCTGAGTGAAGTGAGGAAAGTCATGTACACAAGATCGGTGGCACGTCAGGACACGAACCCGGGACCTCTTGGTTCCAAGTCGAGCACTCTGCCGCTACGCCACACGACTATTTCTGTTTGTAGGTTGAACTTCCCGAATGTATGTTAATGTTTGTTTGTTTATTTGTTTGTTTGTGTAGAGGCAGGCTGGCTGAGTGTTGTCCACTCCTTGATTAATGTGATCCCCATGGATGACCCCCTGGGCCCAGCGGTCATCATTCTGCTGTTGGACGAATGTCCACTCCCAACCAAGGTAGGGTCTGTGCTGTATTAATAACTATAGAAAGGTAACATTGGCAAAGCAAATGCATTATGTGTTATCTCGCTTAAACTTTGACTTTGGCTACTACTTCTGCTACTAAACTTTCACTTTGACTACTATTCCTGCTACTTAACTACTGCTCTGTTTATTCTTACTCAGTTACACTGTTTATTCATACATATCGTGACCAGCTTAAGCTTCTCCAACTCTGTCCTGCAACTTGCTACATAATGTAACTCAATACCACAGGGTGTCAGCTACAGCACCAGTTATCATGACAGCCAACTACATTTTCTGTATAATATCTTTAATTTGTAAGTGACTGAGTCATAAACGTCATTAACATCATTTGGCAAAGGTATGAGATTGTGGAACTCCTAGCTTGTGCTAAAATCCAAATTTGTAGCCACTTTTCACTTCTGTGACTTTACATCCACAGGAGTCTATACTGAAGTTGTCATCTAGCCTGAGTCTTTGCAAGAGGATATCCAGACTGGGTCTGCAGCATCCAGCCCGACACAGGAACATAGCGGCAGTGCTGGGCTGTATAGCCGAGAAACTGGCAGGTACGGACACCACCTTGCAACTGTTGTTGGTATTGCAGCCCATGACAAAGTATGATTTGGGAAGTACGTCGGCAGAATGTTCTGCACCTGTGCAAAACCCGAAATGTATTGTGTGCATAGTACTTTGGCAGAACGTCTCACATAAGGTCGTATTCACACATAAGGTTAACACTCTGTCTGTAGTTTCCAAATGTTATGTCAGAAAAAATATTTGTCTGCAACAGGCAAAATTCTGATGCAACATTGACCAAACATCCAATGAAAACCGTGAAAAATCTGGGTTTTGCGCAGGCTCAATACGTTCTGCCAATGTGCTGATTTGGGAGTGTTTGGAGTCCTAAGGAAGCTCTCATAGGGAATTTGATGACTCTGTTGTGTATTTTTCAGGTCCAAATAGTGTAAGCTTGCTGACCGAGGGAAACTTGGAATACCTTCTAGCAAATCTGGTGAGTAATGAATAAATCAAATACACTTGTGATAGTTCAGAGTTTAACTTTTCTGACAACAAAACATTTAATATAAACGAGAAAGGTAACATTTGCAAAGCAAATGCATAATGTTTACCTTCGCAAGGTCGGTTTGCTTTGTTAATTCTTACTCAAACACATTCATATATATGGTGGACAGGAGTCTAAATTCCTCCTGGTATAAAATTGCAACATGATGTAACCCAACACTAGTTACCATGGTGACAGACGCCTGGTTCAGGTCATTGACCTTATTTGTTTGGAGAAGAAGAAACATAAACAACATCTTTTCCTTCGGTTAACATAATTAGAAACGATGACCAATGTTTCCTTCTTATAACCCCTACAGGACCCTCAGTGTCATCCTGCAGTCATCTTACACTCCATAATAGCATTAGAAAAGTTTTCACAAACCAGTAAGTAAACCGGAATATTTTGTGTGCACGAAACTTACTAGGATTGTTCTTAGTCCTTTTGATATTTACCTTTACCAAGAAGGCTATGTTGTTGGGAATGTGTGAGCATATGAACATTGTGTGTGTGTGTGGTGTGTAGTGTGTGCATCTGTGTGTGTGTCTGTGTGTGTGTGTGTGTGTGTGAGCATGTGTGTGTGTGTGTGTGTGTGTGTGTGTGTGTGTGTGTGTGTGTGTGTGAGTGTGTGTGTGTGTCTGTGTGTGTGTGTGAGCCTGTGTGTGTGTGAGTGTGTGTGTGAGCATGTGTGTGTGTGAGTGTGTGTGTGTGTGTTACCATCAAAATGTCCCGAGTATGCAAATGATTTTTTCTCCCATGTACCCAGGCGAGAACAAGGCAATTGTAGCAAAAACTGGCGTGACGGGCCACCTGATCATCCTGGAGAAATGGGTCAACGACCCCAAGTTCCTAAGGAGACAAGTGGGCTTCTGTGCGCAGTGGTGCCTAGACAATCTCTGTAAGCCACCTGTCAATCATTCTCAGTCAACCAATCACATTCATGCACAGTTAACCAATCAAAATCATTCTCAGTTAACCAATCATAATCATGCTCAGTTAACCAATCAAAATCATTCTCAGTTAACCAATCATAATCATGCTCAGTTAACCAATCAAAATCATTCTCAGTTAACCAATCATAATCATGCTCAGTTAACCAATCAAAATCATTCTCAGTTAATATGCCCACTTAACCAATCACATTCATGTCTGTAAATTCAATCAACTGTACATGTAGTAAAATCATTAGCCTGTGTGATAGTTATATACAACATATTCAAATCCCAGAGTACATAACTTGTGATTATGTTCTTCTGAAGGCATGCTGTTGGTATGCTCAGATTTCAAATTAGGATACTAAATAGGATACAGGTTTTTTTTTTACACAACAGGAGTTACATATACAATACAGGAGTTTTCTTTTACACAACCAAGATAGTTTACCTTGCTAACGTTTCGGTGTCTATCAGACAACTTCCTCAGAGCTTCTGACTGGAGTTCTGCTTCTCGCCGCTATTTGTAGCCGATGTAAGAACACTCCTGTATCCTATACGTTACCAACCTGATGAAACTATTTTCGGAAGTTATGGTACTGTAGTTTTGAAAACAATGTGCATTTTCTATATGCAGTTTTGAAGGATGGGAGAACACTTACATACGAGAGTGCAGACTTAAAAGGCATCAATGTACTACTGAACAGCAACGACACCAGCGAATATCTCAAAATATCACCACACGGTTTAGAGGTAAGAGCGCGAAGGGACACTCTCATTTTCCTAATTTATACTTCATCTACACGTAGGATCACTAGCATTTAATATCATTTATGACATAACGTAAGGAAGTGATATCATGTTGTCTGCATGTCATTTTTCAAGTCTGTAAACTACTGATATAGTCTGTCTTGAAAATGCCCCCCCCCCCATAAAAAGTTGATTTTGATTGTAGTTATTTAATATATATAGGAAAAACTATAAGTTCGTCTATACATCTCAAGAAGAGAGAAGAAGCATTTAGTGAAACACATCCATAGTTTCCCTGTTACTCTCCTGTTACTATCTTACTGTATCAGGCCCCAATGGGGCATGAATATGCAACAAAATTCATTGTCATTGTTGTTGCTATATCAATCTCCAGGCACGAAGTGACGCCTCGTCCTTTGAGAGTGTACGCTGTACGTTCTGTGTGTTTAAAAGTTTAAAGTAAACCATGCAGTATAGTTTAGGAACATTTCTTTACGTTCTTCTACTTCCAGAGACATCCAGCAATCGGTCTAGATACCCACATCACAGACTGTCACAAAAAGAAAAAAAAATAGACACATATTTCAAACTAAAACTAGATTTTTTTGTATGAATATGCAGTAAAATTCATTGTTCTTGTTATATCTCCAGGCACGGAGTGACGCGTCATCCTTTGAGAGTGTACGCTGCACATTCTGTGTAGACGCCGGGGTCTGGTACTATGAGGTGTTGGTCGTCACCGCAGGAGTCATGCAGATCGGCTGGGCCACCAAGGACAGCAAGTTCCTCAACCATGTAAGGAGCAGGGACAATTTGGTTATGCCCCTGTCACATATTCATGAATTCGGTCTCCCGAACGTTAGCCGAGCGCCCGCCAACCATGGTTATGAGTCGGCTGGCGTTCGGCAAATTCGGCTACGGTTCGGCTGTGCCAGCCGAATGTTTCAAAATCTTTAAAACATTTGTGAAATGTTCAGGAGGTTTGATCATAGTTGGCTGTTTTTTGACCGTAACTCAAAACAACAACCATTCTGGAGTAAGTCAGCAGTGTTCGGGGATCAAATTTGGCTCCAATTTAACTAAATTCAACTCATTAGGCATGGCCTAAATATGGTCAGAGTGCTCCCAAACACCAGCTGACCGTTTATGTTTGTAACAGCTTGTTTGTGTGTGAATTTCAGGAAGGATACGGCATCGGTGATGATGAGTTTTCCTGTGCATACGACGGCTGTAGGCAACTCATCTGGTACAACGCAAAATCTCGCCCTCACGCACACGAAGCCTGGAAGGAAGGTCGGTACTAGTGTTAATTTTTTTCAGGGTCCATCCTTAAAATCTTGTTCATTACATGCTTCTTTTTGAGTCAAATTCTAATTTCTCTTTTTCAGCTACTCTGACCCATGCAATGGTTTTTACAATTTTTGATATTGTTTTGATTCTTATAGGTGATGTTTTGGGGTTCCTGCTAGACTTGGACAACAAACAGATCGTTTTCTCTCTCAATGGGAACAACCTAGATCCAGAGAGGGATGTCTTCAAATCAGCTAGGTAGGTGCAGTACAAAATCATTCTGCCAGGGGGCAGCCATGCCCTAAAATATCACCTCATCCCTGTAGAAAAAGACTGCTTTAATCTTTCCTTTTTTTCCACGTTCTATATGTGAATGAAATAAGTTGCCTGCCCAGGTTATACAGGCACAGTCAGTACAGGCCTTTAGGGCTTCCTTGCCATAAGGTCCCCCCCCCCCTCAGTGATACACCTTGCAGGGTTGTTGGAGAGTAAAGAAGATGAAGATGATAAAAACACTGAAAACAGGTCAGAAATAAGCTGAAGCCCAAACCTCTGCTTGTACATGTAGATTACCCTGTGTGTGCAGCACACTGTCTGGCATTGAAGGCATCCAATACGATTTCAGGGCATCAAAGCTGGAAATATTCTGAATAAGGCGATCTGTATGATACTGACACATACTGATTCACATTAGCACATTTGAATCAGTATTTCATACTTTAGGCATTTAAAACTGCAGAAACAAGCCCCAAGATTAGTCCTTTATTTTCTGGGTGGTACACTAAAAATCAATCCAGGTCCTCCCAGTAACTGTTTTTCGTCAGAATTTGGGGCATTTTTGCTCCATGAATGCCATTATACATTGGGACTGTGTTGTTTCAACTTTTAGTATGTAGACAAATGACTAGAATATTTACTTTGAAAAATCGTGTTTCCAAGCCCTAACAACTGTTTGAATTCCAGGTCGGGTTTCTTTGCTGCTGCCAGCTTCATGTCCTTCCAGCAGTGCATTTTTAACTTCGGTGCTGAAGACTTCAGGTACCCGCCGCCCCTGAACTTCAGCAAGTTCAACGACCACGCAGAGCTGTCCAACGAAGACAAGGTCATCTTACCAAGGTCGGCACGATAGCTTGTCATTTGTGTGTCTTAAGATGTAGAAAATATAGAATACTACACAGTGTATCATTGTGTGATGCAAACAGTAGCATGTTCGGCTCAGACCCAAGGGGTCCCGGGTTCGAATTTTGTCATGCCACCGATCTTGTGCCCTCGGAAAAGGCACTTAACATGACTTTCCTCACTTCACTCAGGTGTCAATGAGTACATAGCTTCGGTTAGGGACGTTTTTTGGATAGGATGGAGGTCCCGTGTTTGGGGAGAGCCACACCCCACGCATGTTAAGAACCCACCGCACTTATCAAAAATAGTAGGGGTCCTTCCTGGTGTGAGTGGTTCAAACCCTACAGTTCGGTCATACGTAGCTTGTACTTACATGTACAAAACTGTTTGTTTCATGACCGGTAAACCACCTTTTTAGGCGTAACACACCAAACAAAAGGCATCGCACATGTCATAAGAGTGTCTTATTTACATCAAAATGGTATAACCTGATATGGTGTTGGTTCCTTCCTGCAGGCATAAGAAGATGGCCCTGCTGCGAGAGCTGAGCTTCAAGGAAAACTGCTGCAATCTCTGCTTCGACAACCAGGCAGACACAGAACTCAGGCCATGTGGGCACAGGTAAGCAGACACAGAACTCAGGCCATGTGGGCACAGGTAGGCACGGCTAGCTGCAGTACCCAGTACTTTCAACAGGGGGCAGGACTGACTCAGCCAACAAGTGGCCAAAGTTTCTGTTTTACATTCTGATCATTATGTTCAAAGGGACTTAGAGGCACCCAATGCAATTTCAGGGCAGCAAAACTGGAAATACTCTGAATAAGGCAATCTGTATAATACTGACACATGCTGTTTCATATTAGCACATTTGAATCAGTATTTCATTCTTTGGGCATTTAACAGAAACAAGTGCCAAGATGAGTCCTTTATTTTCTGGGTGGTACCCTTAAAATCAACCCAGGTCCTTCAGGTAATCGTTTTTCGTCAGAATTTTGAGCATTTCTGCTCCATGAATGTCAATATACTTTAGTACTCAGGACAAAAAAATTGTTAGAATCTAATTTGCATAAATGGGAAACTACATTAGCTGATATATGTCGGGTGTGTTTTAACCAGTGGCTTTCCTATGTTCACCAGGGATCTCTGTATGACCTGTGCGATCCAGATCGAGTCTTGTCCGATCTGCCGGGAACCCATCCAGCAAAGGGTAGAGGTCACGTAGCGAAGCCCACACTATGCTGCCCAATGCGTCTCAATCCAGTGCCTGCCAAGATTAATCACCGCTGACAATTTGCTGACCTAATCTGCATGGTGTGTGTGCCTGCTTTCTTTTGCATGTCCTGTGCATTTTAATAAATGAATCTGTTGAATTGATTCATATTTTACAGCACCTTTAATAGCAATGACCGAAATTGTCATACTTGTAAACTTAGCACAGTACATGATTAGCCAGTGTTATACAATTTCTTGCTGTCACAAGATTGTGCCTCCTCACTGAGAGACACCTCTAACTCGAGAGAACCATTCCCATTCCTAGCCCTTGTCCTGCTGGCATATTTTTCACAATATTTTTCAACAATTTCAAGTCTTAATCAGGTCATATAGACCCCCAACTTTTTTTGCCCTCCGGTGATGTAGTTACTCCCGCATTTGTTGCGGTGCAGTGTGATGCATTGCAAGAGAAATACCCCGAAATTGTACCTATACAGAGTGCTATATAGGTGGTACCGTATGTGCAAAACAACAATTGTTGGGCTCCACAGGACAAGGGCTAGAAGTACAACATGTACCAAAACCAAGCATATACTGTATTCTCTTCACAACCTTTTAGACAACAATGCATAAATGTTGTTAGTGGGAAAAAGGATACAGTACTTGTAAAAGGATACAGTACTTGTTACATAAGGCTTACAGTATTGAGTAAAACAATCTTTCACAGTAGTTGTTAAGTGAAGAGTACCTGTTTGCATTCTAAGCAAGACTTCACTGAAATTCCAGCTTTTTTGCCAGTATTCAAAGATACATACACGTATGGTTAAATTTGTAATTTATGTACCATAATGGGTTTGTCGCTCATGTCTGCATAATAGTTTTAAGCAATGTTTGTAGTTGAAGAACAACAGTTATATTCTGTTGTCATCACTCAGTGTCATCTGCACAATGGGAACAAATTTCTCTCTCTTTGATAGCTTACATATACATGTATATAATGTTAACAACAACAGTCTACCTAGCATACATTTAGTGCAAGACAACCAGTCAGAATATGTCATTTTCATGTCTTTCACGTCACATCACTTTAAAGTAAAGATGGCAAAGTAGATCACGTTTTATACACTAGTGAAGATTTTATCGGAGTCGAATAAAACAACTTTCAATGCTGAAGCACTTTTAGGCACAGAATGTTCTGGCGTTGCACTGCGGCCTTACAAAAAATCCCTGAATACCTGTGTTAATTCGGCTGTCAAGTCCAAAATCTGTATGTATATCCCCATTGTATTTCAGGCTTCTTTTTCCACAAGATTTGGACTAGCTTCCTTTTTTACTTCAGCCAGAGATCAAGCAAGCAATAATGTTGTGATTTAATAGTAAGAACAAATTTAAAGGTGGTACTTTTGCAGCCATTTTGTTGCACAGGGAATTTGGAAATGTAACGATGGCTTTGATTGGATCTGGCGTCTGCCATGCAGACATGCCAACCAATGAAACACGTTTTTCCATGCGAGGCAGTTTGAAGGGCAGGAACAAACGTCAGTGTGTGGCATACCGCTTTGTACTGCATTGTATAGACTGTCTATCTATGCAGTGTATTGTAATACATGTATTTAACAGTTGGGGGGTTCTTAGAACAGGTATTGCCTTGTTGAAATGTTACAGCTACAAACTTTTTGTAGCTATTTTGTCTACTGTTACTGTACAAGATTTCTGAGCATGGTAAATTTCAACTTGTCAAACTTTCTGCTGCTTGCATTGGTGTCACCACTGTTCATCTACCCGATAATGTACACTATAATGTTATATGGGCAAGTTTGTGTGCTGCTACCCTGCCTACAAATATATGCATGACAGAAATGTCCAACTCCAGATTATAACAACTGTACATAGTAAACCTTCCACTGTGTACAGTCAGTTTTGTGTAAATAAAGAGGAATTTACTGCAATGCATTGGAACTGTAGTCTTTGTGTGTGGATGGTGTTCAGCACCAAGGACAGGTGTGTTTACCTGTGTGGATGGTGTTCAGCACCAAGGACAGGTGTGTTTGCCTGTTGTTCAGCACCAAGGACAGGTGTGTTTGCCTGTGTGAGGATGGCATTCAGCACCAAGGACAGGTGTGTTTGCCTGTGTGGTGTTCAGCACCAAAGACAGGTATGTAACCTGTTTGGATGTTGTTCAGCACCAAGGACAGGTGTGTTTTCCTATGAATAGATGGCATTCAGCACCAAGGACAGGTGTGTTTACCTGTGTATGGATGGCATTCAGCACCAAGGACAGTCACACCAAACCCACAACTTACTGCTTTCATGCTGTTTTATTGAAAAATAACAATAATTACATACATCGTGACATTTACATGTACAGCTTCATCACTACATCTCCAACTACTACAGATACACAGGCTCTTTTTACCATATGTGCTTGTGCAATTGTACAGAAATTTGGCAATGTTTTTTTCTCTTCACGTCTACTATAATATACACATACACATACAAAGGTTGGAAATTCTCCCTTATGGTCATCAAGTGAACCGGCGAAAAAAATGTCTCTCTTTTCATATCAAACTCTTTCAGTGTGATTTTTCATAATTCCAACACTGATGAGTACAGTCTTGAGTATGTATGGAAATGTTCGATGAAACACACACACTGAGTACTCGAACGCGCCAATGTACGACTAAATGGTGAATCTGTGTGAGGATGGGTTTAATCTAAAGACAGACCATTTTTAGTGTCTGAATATTGCTGCCTACACTTTAGAAAGGTATCTCCTGGTAAACCACTGGACCAGCAGTAATCAACCAACACTACTACTAGCACAGCTTCTACGACACTTAACAAAGTTTGATGTGATTTTTTTTCTACCAATTTTGTTCCCATCGAAACCATTTTTTTTCTCCTCACCGGTTGAGAACTCATCACAACATCAAAATCTGCTACTTTCTCAACTTCACAGGGCATTAGGACATATATATAGATATAAAGGCAGCTTTTTTGTAAATGTAGGTATCAACAATGGGTATCTGGCAACAATTTATATTCCTGAATAGCACAACTAATTGTACGACATCCTTGAATTGACAGGACTTTTGGTTCGGTCACAGAGCTAATCTTGTAGCCTGTGACAAAACAGAACCACATCAGAGCTCCATCGAGTATGATATCTATTATAGACAGAAGCAAGATGAGTTACTCCTCTTGCCCTTTCCACGAGCACTCACAAGCACATGTATTAGGTACATCCAATGGCAGAAACTATCGACCATAGAGTCTCACTTGGCAAGTCTTCTAGTATTGAACACCAGTAGACACAAATCTCCAGTGTTCTAGTAAAGTTCGAATACAATACCAGACCAATAGGGCTACTTAAGTCTGTGTCGGTACCAGCTTTACCTTTTGCTGGGACATTGGAACTTTACCTTCAATTAATTTTTAAGTCTATGTCTGCTACTACAGTTGTACATCTTGCATGTTGCAGAGACTTCTTTGAAATCAGCCGGTAAAATCTGTACATCCTGACTCGCCTTTTTAGCTGTGCAAATGCAAGAATTAGTCACGATTAAGAATTTCCTATGTCTTCTCCGTCCGCGAAGTAACTAACTCCATGGACAACTGCAACATCTGAACACAATACGCGTTCGCCCTAAAACATCTTACACTTGAGCATTGATTTCAGTAGTGTCAGTGTTTAGTACATACAGTTGTTAGCAGTACAAGAAATCGAGTACACACACCTAAATGACTCTTATGTTATTGCAGAGACAACAATCATTAAACCTCATACATTGCCTTCTTTTACCCCTCCAAGCACCGGAGATATCCGAAACTGTTAAATATATATATTACTCTTCTGCAGTAGACACAAATAAAGAAAATAGTTGTAATATATGTACATACAGTGGGATAAATAAGTATTATGTACTTTGCCCAACACTAGTTTGAGCTGGTTGTGCCCTAGGAATACACAGTTTACATTTATACAGGTGCTTTCCACAAGGTTTGGTCCAGTGTTCGGTTAACAGCACCAAAATAACACTTTTATCTATCATAGGGTAAGTTTTAGTTTAAGACAAAAGCACTGTGACAAAGAGACTGTACGAAACAAGTTGAGAAGAGCGTTAACTTTGCCACAGAAAACTAACAATGCAGTATGAACTAGCTGGTGTTGTGAACAATCATACACTTTTGAAGGTACACATTCAAACGTGCTTCTAGCTGGAACAATGGTGTGCAGAGCAACCTTATATTATACCTCTCTATCTCAAGAAACAATTTTGTCAGGATCACAACAATACTCCAGTAGTGTTGCACTTGACAATGATTCTACATCTAAAATATCAGGTGACTGTTGAAAACTATAGCCAGTGAGAAGTCTGTATGGCATATCTGAGATCATGTAGCGTCCATTCTGGGTGAGAAAATAAGGATTGTCTTCGCTACTACAACTTTCGCATGTGACCTGTGCAACTGCCATGCACAACAAGGGAAATGATGTCAAGTACAAGGGTTTGGACTGGGTATCAAACAGACCAAACGAGCTTTGCTGGCCTTTTCTATTCTGGGGCAAATTTGATGTCACTTTCTTTTCCGCAATTTCACAGGTGGTTGTTTAGCAAGTTAATACCTTGTTTCTGAAAACAACCAACTCCCAAGAAAGAAAAACTCTGTCTTGCTGTGGTCTACCTGCAATTGTCACAATCTAGCTGTTCTGTGCACTAACCACATCTTATGAGACTTTGAACAGCTGAGACTTAGACACAAGGGAACCGGCAATGTACAATGTGGTCACATACATCAGCACAGGACAACTTGTAGTACTTTTGCTTCCATTCCAAAACCACGTGTCCACTGGCTATAGTGTAGCAGTTCAAACGGACACGTCTCAAGCAATCCCTGATATACATGATTATATTAAGATGAGGTTGGCAATACTAGTATAAGTCCGTTCGTTAGAACATTCTTCTCTCTTTTTTCTCTTACGGTTGTGTGTAGATGTAGTCAGTCCCTAGTACTAGTATCCTATATCTCTGTATACACGATGACACAGAAGTTTTGCTTAGCATGAAAGTTCATCTGTGTTGGTACAAGTCATTATGAAATAAAGACTAAGCTCTCTTGCCAACACTGGAATGAATTGGGGACTTACCCCAAATTTTCCGCTGACTCCTTCAACCTTGTTCATGGAATGGACCCGTTTACTCTGGGCGAGACGGGGGGCGACACAGGTTATCTGGTACGTATGACCCACTACTACCAAGGGTAGACGGGTCCATTCCGTGAACAAGGTTGAAAGAGTAGGCCAAAAATTTGGGGCGAGTCCCTAATTCATTCCAGTTTTGGAAAGAAAGCTTAGTCTTTTATTTCGTAACAGAGAAGTTTTTTTGCGGTGAACTAGCGGGCTTCGGTCTTCTCCACGGGAGAACCCGATCGCGATGTCGTCGTGGTAACAGACTTGACGGACTCGACGGGGCTGGCGACGGTCGGCGGCGTGGTGGCGGAGGTGGTCGCGGCGGCTGCGTCGGTGCTAGCCGCAGCTTGCTGCTGCAGTGCCTGCGTCGGAGAGATAGGGGGCATTGCTTTTAGTCTATGCTCAACAATGCAAAGGAAATTCAATGATCTAAATAATCTACAATAATCTAAAATCTATGATAAGACAAAGCAAATACACATTCATTGACAGTCACGCTATATTAAATCATAAGACGAGACATCTGTCCCATTAGTTCAGGGCTTGTAAGCACGTCGGCAGAACGTACTGCACCTGTACTGTACTGCGAAACCTGTAATGTATTGAGCATATAGCATTTCCGCAGAGCATCTCATATATGGTCGCATTTCATAGATAAGGTTAACATTACGTTTGTAGTTTCCAAGCGTTGTATCAGAAAAAATGTAATCTGCAACAAGCAAAATTCTGATGCAACGTTGACCATAAATCCAACAAAAACCCGTGAAAAATGGGGGTTTCATGCAGGCTCAGTTCGTTCTGCTGACGTGCTGGTAGAGGCTACAGAAAAATGTATATGTCTTATTTTTGATGAACTAACTAAAACTGCATCTACACAGAAGAAGGGGTTTGTAACAAGCACGCGTTGTCGGGTGTGGTTGCCAGGTGTGGCTTACCTGTGTCCCGCAGATGCGGTGGTGGTTCTCCCAGTCCTTGTGCTGGCAGGTGTGCGCGCGTGTGTGTGTGTGTGTGCGTGCATGTGTGCGTACGTGCGTGTGTGAGCGTGGCTTACCTGTGTCCCGCAGATGCGGTGGTGGTTCTCCCAGTCCTTGTGCTGGCAGGTGTGTGTGTGTGTGTGTGTGTGTGTGCGTGCGTGCCTGTGTGTGTGCGTGTGAGAGAGAGAGGGCTTACCTGTGTCCCACAGATGCGGTGGTGGTTCTCCCAGTCCTTGTGCTGGCAGAAGGAGCCGCAGTAACGGGCGACATTGCACCCGCTGCACGTCTCGCTCGCCTTACGGCCGCAGTTCCAGCAGTTCTGTGGGGGGAGAGACATGCCTTCTTTACATATATGTACACATATACCGATGCACAACAAGTATACCCACACAGCAGACATATAGGAAAAGGTAAAACCATTAGATTAGTGTTCTAGCCAGCGTGAAATTTTTTCCGTCGTCTCAATTTTGTTGATGAAGGCAGTGAAATCCCTGTGGGGGTCCAGAATTTTGAATGCTATTTGCTACATTTTGAGGAGCAAAGATTGCTGGTAGACTAAGCATAGTTGATTGACATCTCTTTCCATATCTTTAACTGCTGATTTTTTTCCATCAAAATTCTGCACAATTTTTGTTCATCATGAACAGCAAAATTCTGTAAAAAAAAAAAAAGACGGAAAGATGGACACTGGCTAGAACATTGGATTGGGTATATCTACGTAATTAGTTTTACCCAAACACCACAGATGTAAAGGACAAAATAACTTCTTAAGATATACCCAAACATCCAGGAGTTAGAAAACATGAAATCTTACTTAAAATACAAGAACAGCCACCATCAAATAACATATCATTAACCTTCTCCCTGCTGCCAAACCCCATAACCAAGAGAGAATCGGTAGCCATCTGGCTACTTCAGTGTGGTAAAGGTTAAGAAACTCCAAACCTTTGATTAGAGTTTAAATAGTCATTAGTATACAGCTTTAGGTTTAGTTATAAACACACCAATCACCAGATACAGAGCTCTGCCCCAAAACAAAAGCTACCAATGAGGTATATGTAACTGAAGTCAGAGCTCTACACGTTGCTCAATGCTACAAGTTTGGACACCAAATACAACAATAAATTCCTCCAGGGACCTAAATAAACTTTGGTTTCTCTTTCTTTGGGTTTTTCAAATCCCTCCAGGGAGTTTTAAAACTTTGGTTTCTCTTTTTAGAAAGTTTCTTTCAAAATGATAACAATTTTTTTGGTGCTGCTACTTTGTTTGCTGTTTGTAGAAAGGAAACAAATGAGAAAAAAAAAATGTTGTCGTTGGTTGGATGGTTTTGGTGGCCGTGGGGACCAGTGGAGATGTTTCAAGCTACATGTACGTCAACATTTTCGTGTTGCCATCAGTGTAGAGCGCTGGAACTCCACGTTACCTCACTGGAGCTTTCCTGTTGTTGGTTAGCCTCGTCCTGCGCCTGCCGGCGCGCGTCGGCCACCGCACGCTCCATCTTGGCCCGCTCGGCCGCCACAAGCTCACTTGCCTTCTGTTCTGCCGCCGCCACAGCTTTCTGAAGCTCGATCACTGCCTGACGCTTCACCTCGTTCACCGCTTCCTCTGCAGGACAGAAGAGAAACGGTCGATCGGACACCCGCCTTGTGTGCCTGGTACAGAAGCTAGCTTCGGAGGGCCACAGAATGTAAACTCTCCACTCTCTCTAGAGATAGACCTCTACACACAGTTTCCTTTCAACAACCCAATTATGACTATCCAACCCTCCGAAAACCCACTACAGTCGGTCAAAGCTAACTGAAAGGTGTAAAACCTTCAAGGGCTTGTTAGCTGTAATTGTGCAGTTGAAAGGGAACACACGATTTCATCCAATGTTAAGCTTGCAGCTACAAGTGTGAGTCAATCAATCAAGGGATCTTCTGAGGTTTCTTCAACTTTTCATTAATTAACAAGGCTACATCCCGCTACCCTCCAAGCTAGCTTACAGTATTTTTTCTTAGAGACTGGAATTGAGAAAACGCTTACCTGGTCGAGGTCTATTGTAGAAGGGAAAGGTCCTGGCCATTTGAGCTTGGTACATTTCTGAAAAGAGGCCAAATTTCACTATCCATAACTGTTGACACATAAGTTTGGGCACTGCAAGAAATGTAAGTGCAGGTACATACAGTAGAAAGTGCATCAAAATTAACTTTGTTTTTACCCTTTGCAGTTTTGAGGTAGAGGGAAACTGGGGAAAGTCATTGGCTAAAATTACCTTTAGTTTTTCAGATAGATAGCCTGGGTACCTGCCTTCTTTGGGTACTGTTTTCTAAATAGCCAAACAAGGAGCAGGCTAATGCCAATGAGGGCTGGTACCTGGGCTACCTGTTAGTCTAAGTGGTGCATAGGGATATTTTGGTGCTTATTCACAAACTTTTTCAGCAAGGTTATGTGATTCGGAAGAACTAGTTTCAGTATCAATAGTAGTGTTAGTAGTCTTGGTTTTTTGTTACAGGAAAAACATGATCATTATGGCTGTTATATTGGGAGCAAAAGCAATAACATAAGGGATCACTGATACAATTCTGCCCCAAGTGTACCCAAATAATTACAATAGTGGGTGCTAGTAGCAAATTTCTCATGACTATTAATTTCTGGAGGACTTATCCCAGTAACTCTCTCGTTAGAAGGTTAGTGTGTTGTGTGTTAAGATTGCAATAGTGGCTAGAGGAACAAGTACCACACCAGACAATCATGATCTACCAACCTGCTCTTCTTTTGACCTCGCTGACCCTGTCCTCGGTCTGCCGGATGGTGTGAGCCATCATCTCCCCGGCGCGCTTCTTCATCTCGTGGTCCGCCCCCTCGGCGCACCGCCGCGACCACATCAGCATCTCCTCCCGCTCCTGTACCGACCGGTGGCGCAACGACGCGATGGCTCGCAACGTCTTGTCCACCATCCCCGCAACGCAGTGGAGCATCTGGGAAGAAGGGAACAACATGGTCAGCTATCATGTCTATTTTCATGTTATTCTCACACACGTGACTCCGTGAGCACAGGGATAGACCCTGTGCGTAAACGGGCAGAAGTAGCTTCTCTTGTCTCTGTCTTTAAGGCAGTCCGTGGATGTGCGCCTGTGTACATGACATCGTTGTTCAAATGGGAAGCTCCACCAACACTGAGTGTACGCACTACTCGGTCAGAGTTAAAACGGCTACGGGACTATGACCCCCACCTACTCTCCTGCCCCCCAGCAAGGGTCACTTCATACAGGAACAGCTTACAGTACTATGGACCTTACCTCTGGAACTCACTCCCCCTACAACAACGACAGCAGCTCAGTCTCAGAACTTTTAAACAGTTTTTATCGAATTGTATTTAAGATTAGTTTTATCTATGTGCTATTTTTAGACTTTGTATGTATTGTGAATCTGTTTAACTGTTAGGTGTTTGTCTGTGCTTTTGTACCAGGATTTCCTGAAAAACAGGCCAGAGTGGCCTGAGTGTGATACCTGGTTGAACAAATAAAGTTGAAAGTTGAAAGCAGTGGATCATAGGTTGCAGAAAGTCTGTGGCACCCCCGTCTCTGTTGTGGGATGGTTGTAATGCCCTGATGTAGATGGCCTCTTTACTCCCATTACAACCTTCCCTCAACAGAGACGGGGGCGCCACAGACTTTCTGCAACCTATATGATCCACTGCTCACGGAGTCACATGTGTTATCTGCGTGACGTCACGGAAGCAGTGGATTGCTCATTCCTTGACAAAGACTAGAGTTGTACAGTCAAAAATTTGTGTCCAATTTCTTGTGTTGGCAAATTGCAGTTCAAACTCATTTCATAATGACTTCTACCAACACAGATGAACTTTCAAGACACATATTTCATACTACATACATATTACAACAATGACTTAAATTGTAGAATACCTGTTCAACATGTTTCCATTCGTCCTCCCATGAGCCGTTGGGATGATGTGAGTCGTACATCCGGTGGCTGCCCCGCTCGTACTCTCTGGGGTCGTAGGGCAGGCGCGGGTGCACGGGGTAACGCCCCTCGAAATGCTCCCTGTCGTGGTCTCTGCTGAAACCACACACAACATCAGCAACATTTATATATAGACTCCTTCGGTCAGGACCATGGTAAAGCTTAATTGTTAACCAAATACATGTACCAGTACCAATCAAGCAGTACCTAATTATGTTTACTGAAGGAGAACATTATTATTTTTGTTGTTTCCTCTTCTTCTTCTCCAAACCAAAAAGGTTGATGGTAACCAGTGTTGGGTTACATCATGCTGCAATTTTATAGCAGGAGGGATTTAGACTCCTCTCTGACCATATACAGAACGTGTTTGAATAAGAATTAATGGAGCAGACTATATGCGAAAGTAAACATTATGCATTTGCTTTGCAAATGTTACCGGGTGACTTACTAAAATCAGATTAACTCTTATTGTATAGCTTCATATCTCTGGGAAGGAAGGACAGTTCATGTTCTTACTTGGTTTGTTGGCCTGATCCAGATCCGGATCTGATGTCCCGCGGATCCCGTGGATCGCCGCGGTGGTCGCGAGACTCCCTGGGGTGGTGGGGCATGTCCCTCATGTACCCCTCCCCCTGGTGGTGAGGTGGGGGGAGGGGGTGGTGACCGTGCAGGCCGGGGTGGGGGGCGCTGGTCCCGGGGGACACCCGGTGCTGGCCGGGGCTGACCGTGCAGTGTCGTTTGGCAGGGTGGCGAGGGTCGTCCATGGGTTCCACACCGTTCTCTTTCGGTCTGTAGGAATGGCTGATATAGCATCACAGTATTCGTCGTAAGTACTTGCACAAATAACTGTTAAAACAGCTATCAGCTACATGTTCTACCAGTATTCTTATCACAATAAAGAAGACAGCAAGCAACAATTTCAACATGGTAAAGTTTTGACTAGTGCATCCTGGCAGAACCTTCAATGTTGCAGTTGGAACTGTTCAACAATAGCTATACACTATGGAAGACAAGGAAGGACACATGTTTACAGTCACACATTTGATGTAGAAGGCCAAAACCCATGAGGTCGACCAAGGTAGAGATGGATGACAATGTAAGGGAGGATTTCCAACAGGATAGAGGCAAATGGCGGGCTGCCATCAAGCCTCAGCATTGGAGACAGGAAACCACAGACGCTAAACCAGATAGTGAGTGAGTGAGACAGTAACTGACCTGTCTGGGGTTCTTCTCTTGCCGTTTTCGTTGACGTCCATGATGATGTCTGAGGAGTCGACGGGGGAAGTGTCTGTGTTGAGGAGGATGTGCTCGTTCTGACTGAGGTACTGCGCTGGCGTCTGCTTGGCCATACGGGCACAGTGGAGAAGCTCGCGCTGCAGGAGTGGCAAGTTTGCCTGTGGACACATAAAAACAGAAATACATGTAACTTCTGTGTACAAATCTAAAGCACTGTTGTGCTCGTTCTGACTGAGGTACTGCGCAGGTGTCTGCTTGGCCATACGGGCACAGTGGAGAAGCTCGCGCTGCAGGAGTGGCAAGTTTGCCTGTGGAGAAGTAAAACAGAAATACATGTAACTTCTGCAGATAAATCTAAATCGTTGTCTCCTTTCCTGTAGTGTACTGTAGTTGTGCTGGTTTGTGGCCAGGGTGCCATCCTCTGTAGTTTCCACCTGCTCCCTTATGTCGGCAGCCAGTGACATTAGGAAGCCAGCAGAAAGTACAGAGGATGGCATCCAGGCTAATAATACACTTGAAACAAATGTCGAAAACTTGTAGGGGTTTCTCTGGCCTACTAATAGTACTATGTTGGCACTCTGTTGCTGTTTTTAAGCATAATTTACTTCTGTCAGAAGGTGAATATAAAGAGATACATAACTGTTATGGCTGAAAGTTGACCTGAAACACCATCTTCAATGAAAAGGTTCCAAAAATTCAATCGACAGACAAACTGCTTTGTAATACTAAGCCTCAGATATGGTCTAGATCAAGATCTGCCTTCCTGAACTTCTAGTCCAAGTCTTTTGGGGGATTCTCAGAACTCATGTGTTTCCCATTACCAGGCAGGCCCACAACAACAGCCAGTCTGTCCTGTCAGGCTGGGGGGAAACAAGTTCCATGTGGTCTGGATGTCTGCCTCTACCTTGTAAACATCCTGCCACACTTCTATAAAACTACACATAAAAGCTGCAATGAAACTAGGGGGGAATTTTATCATCAAGAGCTGTTATTACCTGTAAAAGCTACCTTTTCACCAGACTATTTTGTGAAGAAAGGAGACTGTCAGTTACTATTATGCATGTAGATGAAGGAAAGAAAATTTAGATTGAACTAAAGGTAGAATTTTGAAATATCTGTTCATTTCATGAAAATGCGAAGTTGCGAAAATTAAAAAAATTTGTGGACAGCTACAAATGCTATAGTTTCTTTCTCTGTGTCTTACACTGTTTCTTGAAAGTATAAGCAAAGTTGACACCTTAAATAGGACCAATAACAAGACCTTTCTGCTGACTACAGATTGACGGACAGCAACACATGCGGCCGGATATGTCACAGTTGTTCCTTTGATGTTAGGTACTATTTCCACTTCTAATATCACAAATTCCTGCATTCTACACCAAAGATAACCTCGTACACATCTCTGTTACCTTTGTTATCGACATTTAAGTTTCATGGCTTTAATTTTGTGGGGACATGTAATCTCAACGGCTTAGTCAACTGTTTGTAATAACGTTTAGCCATTACAACCTTTTAGTTAGTACAGTTTCTTTTGGCACATCTGTTTTCAGTATACACCTGATACTTATTTAGCCTGGACTGCCTTTTCTCAAAGTCTAAGCAGCTCCCTAAATGCTCAGATAAATTTGACCAGTAACAGAGTTTTCGTAATTGTTGGCCAACCATGTCTAGCCGAGCTAATAACACCTTGTACCTGAACACATGAACGAGAAACGTTATGCATGCAAACACAATAAAACTTTACCAGTTGCAAGCAGCATGAGGAAACTGTGCGTGGGACATTTATGTGGTCCTGAGACCCATTAAAAAAAAACTGTACAACTATCACAAAACTATCTTAGATACGTACTGGTCATTTACTGTAGTAACATTTAGCACATCAACATAGCTAATTCTACATAATTAACTAATTTGGTTACAGTTACAGCCAGCAGGAAGAAGGATAAAGTAAAACCAGCATCCCCATTTGAACATAATGAAGATTGGTGAGATATTTACTAAAACTTGTAGCCAGCTGCCACCACGCCACGTGCCTGGGAAGCTGGTGTGTTATGCTGAAGGGCGGTTATACCGGCTATACCGGTACAGATACAGATACAGAAAACAGCACCTTTTATAGTCCTACCTACATGTATGTAGTGTCCCTACTCAGGCCATCTCCACAAGTCATCAGCCCACCTCTACAAGTCCTGCATCTCCCCAGACTGACCATTCATTCAGTGTTGACTACACCACACTGCTGTACTGAATAGCCCTGTCTTGTGCCAATTTGTCCCAGCTGGTTCGGATTTCCCACCCACCCCTGCCCCCCTCCCTCCTGCCACTTACTTCCTTCAGCAGACAGGGTCGCGACCTTGGCTCTGACCCAATAATCCCTGATCACTTCCAGATAATCCTGGAGAGGAGGAACAGAGGGACCGTGGGGACCCTGCAGCTGAATTCCAACGCATTTCCTCCTGGATTTGTTCCCTCTTCCTTCCTTGTACTAGGAACTTCGGGAAGATTTCTACTACATCAAGAGCTGCCTGACAGAAGTACTGTAACCTACTAGAAAGCATGGTACTCAGTAGCATGTAACACTAGCAGCAACCCACCCACACACATGGGATACAGATGTGGTAGCCTGGTTACCAGACCTATCCACAAAATATAGGACTAGGGGAGCCATAATAGGTCTGGTAACCAGGCTTCAGGGTAATGCAGAGATTGGCCTTACTCTCAACATGTCAAAAGCAAAAGAGTCTTTTCATTTCTATTTTCAGGCCAATGACATATCTGATAATTACCACCTGACAAGAAAAAATGTTTAAGAGTACATGTATTAAAATTGCTGATTACGCTCTATGGAAAAGGGCAATCAGGCTCCCTTTATAAGACAACCACTGCAAGGACAGATCTTCTCAGGGGGTCTGATAGGAAGCTTATTGCACAGCAAAGGTTTACTGGCCTGTCTTTCTTTGATGGATGGACAAAATCTCAGCAGATAGAAGTGTTTATTTGGATGTGTAGAAGGCCTTGTCAGTAACAAATTAAAACCAGGCCTGACTTCTAAATCATGTCCTTGTCAGCCAATTGGACAACATATTAGATATTACTGTATTTAGCTAAGATTTAGTCGCCAGTGATTAACTTTTGTTTCCTGAAAAGAGTTAGTCCCTCTTGTACAATACTAAGCTTCTTGAGCATACCATTGGTACCTTCAAAATAAATGGTGAGGCACTGTAGGATTGGCTACCCTGACCTGGCCAGCCCACAGAAGGACCATCTCATTAGCAGGGCCAGGGTGTTTATTATGGAAGGCTGGAAGTCATTAGACGACCTTGGGAGAAAATAAGGTGGGGGAGGGGGGCACTCATTCAGGGACCTTCATTGGTCTTTGAAGGGCGACAGCTCCACAAATCATGTATACGCGGTTTTGACTCTACGTAATGCGTTGTAGCTACCCGGAATTTAATGTAAAACGTAATGGGTAGGCTTCCTGAATTCATCGTAATACGTAGCTGGCTCTCGAAATTAAACGTAGAGCGTTGTCGGGACCCCCCCCCCCCCATGCAGGCCCTCATGTAAGGAAAGGTTATCCCTTTGCTGATGGGACTCCCAGAGATAATTCTGCCAAAATCTGACAGTCCACGATTGTTCAAACCTGTACCTCAAGTGCTTTTCCACCCATGTGGCTATCTGCCAGACAGGTTAAAGTTGACCCACCCCTCTGTTACCCCAAGCTATACATCTAGGGTCTTATCTTTGAACTTGAAAGACATTGCCCCACCAAAAATGCTGTGAGGTCATCAGATAAACTTGAAACTGTCTATTTCAATTTACGATCTAAAAAGTCAGTAACTTTTTCTTTAGACAAAAAACCTGGAGTTGAGAGGACTCGAACTCAAACTCAACGTGAGGAATTGGCAAAAGCTGGAGAAATGCTGGTTTTAGAATGGATCACAGACTTCTTGGCTATGCCTCCCGAAACATCTGGAACCTTCTATGCACCCCTCCTCCCATGCGATGTCACGGTCATGGCCATCAAAGGCTTTTGAAGAGAAGTGCAAAACAACATACATGAAGTTAGTTAAAGGCCGTACCAATTTGATCAGTTGGTTCTCGGATTCACAATCTTCGTTTTTTTTCTGATTTTTTTCCTGACATGTCTGGTATCCAGGCTAAGAATGTCTAGATTGGGCCTGTTTCCTGCCCTCAACACTTTTTTTTTTTCAAAAAAATAAGAGAACCAACAAACTAATATGGTGTGGCCAACATGTAAGAGTTACATGTACTACTTTAGAACTACTTACCTTTAGAAAAGGGATGACGAAAGGTCTGAGTGGAAAGTTAGTGGCCTCCTGCAACTTTTGGTGGAACTCCTCAATAGACAACTGTGAATTCTGAAAGAGAAAATTATGATAAATTAGTGACTATCAGAACAGCTTTCAAAACTTCCAGCTTCGACCTACATATTTCGCAGAAATAGCTAGCTTTTTTAGCCTGGGTGCCAGACCCATAGCACACTGGACGCAAAGTGCTCACTGAGATACTTGTGTCCAGTGTGCTATGGGTCTGGCACCCAGGCTAAGCTATTGGGGCACATACTTGCTTGGACTGCCTACTCCATTCAATTCTAGCTTTCTATCTTAGCTACCTTGTATGTATGTCTCTATCTACCTCACTATTAGAACAAATCATGATTAGACAAGGAGAAAGCTGGAAGTAATAAGTCAATTTGATGAATCTGTACCATTCAGAAAGGAGGTGCAAGACCATCCTACCTGATCATCCAAAATCAGCGAAATACTGGTAGGAGGGAACCTAGGGTTGGCAACCACTGGTCTTTCCGCTGGCCCTGACTAATCATGTACACCTGTACCAGAGGAGTCCAGGAGCCAGCCATACACTGTCTCTTTGTGCAACTTAATATACAACAGACGTTAGCCAGACAGCCCCAATCCCCGGTGGACCTAAGCTGTTTAGCATCATATGCCATCTCAGGACCTTATCATGATGCTGATTTCATGCATCAGTAGGGAATGATCTGTTATCTGGGCTCTTCTATAGTTTGAAGTGAGAGTTCTTATCTCTTGGCTAAAGTAGTCCTTTGTTCTATCAAAGCCAAGGTGAAATGCCTGGAATCTTTTGCATACTTCTATGCTGCCTACCAGTGTTCTAGCCAGCATCTTTTTGTCATTTGACAGAATTTTGCTGCTGATGATGGACATAAATTTTGCCTGACAGATAAAAATTGGTGTGTAATTTACTGTAAAGATATGGAAAGAGGTATCATTCAATTATGCATAGTCCACCAGAAAAATTTACCTCCCCCCCCCCAAAATGCAGGAAATAGCATTTCAGATCTAGAGGAATCTGTATACTTTGTGAATCTGGTATCCTCTGTATACAATGCAACATACCTGTAATAGAAATCATAAAAATGCAGAATATGATGCTTGATTATTTAGTTATTGCAAATCTTGAAACTTTCGTAGTGGTTTTATTTCACAGTAGAGGGAAAGGGATATTTTCAGAGTGTTTCAAATTCGTGGTTGAAATAAAAGAAAGACAAAGTCATCCATTAAGCTGGTATGTTACGCCGAAGGCTGGCTATAATGGCTATACAGATACAGAAGCTGTTGTGTCACACTGAAGGGTGTTTATTATACCAACTATACAGATAAAGAATTCATAGTAGATCTTAGATCACAGCAAAACAAAACTACCACGAAAGTTTCCTGATTCACAATGCTGAAGTAGAGAAAAAAACTTACCACTAGTCCCATGACAAGTCCGCGGACGCGCTCCCCGATCTCTGGCGAGATGTCGGAGCCGAACTGCTGCAGCGTGGTGAGGAAGCGCTTGAGCTTGCTGAGCTGCCGCGCGCCGCAGGCCGGCGGGAGCTGCTGCTGGGACGAGGAGGTGCTCACGCCGTTCGGCGGGGACGGCGCTCCGTTCACACTGCTCGGGGAGTGCATCCCGTTCACTGGGGGAGCTGGTAAAAAAAAAGAACACAGGGGTCACGTCAATGTTTACTGTTAGATGTTGAAAGGTTAGGTGTAACAAGTCATTCAGTGTAATGTAGCTGCTTGGGCAGTGCATCTCGTTCACTGGGGTAGCTGCAAAACAAGAGGAACACAATCAGTCACATCAAACAATACCAGCTCAGAAAAGAACAAGAAATAGCCATGCCTTCAAGAACCAGAGTTATCAACCAAGGATTGAGGTGTTCAAAACTTATTCTTTCCTAGAACTATCACAAAGTGGAACTCGCTGTCACCAAGTACAATAGGATTATAGTAGGGGCATCATCATTAGAGAGCTTTAAACAATATTTAGAGTTAGATGTTGAAAGGTTAGGTATAACAAGTCGTTCGGCGTAATATAGCCAGCTGCTGCCACACTGCGTGCCTGCGAAGCTGGTGTGTTACGCTGAAAAGCGGTTATACCTGCTGGACAGATACAGATACAAGTGCTTCTACTACAGTACCTCTTTACTTTAGACAACACATGGCATTCTTAGCATGCTTCCTTTCCAAAGTAAATGTTGCCCACGAAAGTCATCGACAAGTTTCCTGAAGTTCAAGGTAACCTGCACCTTTCGATTGTTCCGAATTGGTCTGCTACATTCAACTCTGAGGACAACTGCTGAATCCAGCGGAAGGAGAACAATAAAACCTCTTTATTGAGTAACCTTGCCACCGGTTGGAAACATGCGCCATCTGGAATCAGTAACAAGTTCACCATGTCCAAAAAGCACAAGGGTAGGCCAAGCCTTTCCCAGTAGAGCCGGTATGGGGTAAGACATGGCTCCTACCGTGAGCTGGACTGAAGTATGCTTTCAAGTTTTCACCAGTTCAACACTCCCGGTGATGGGAAATTGGAAAAATAAACCTACCGGAGCAAAACATGTGGCTGGAAGATAGGAAAACACATTGGAAACAGATGGAGAAAAAGTGCAGGAGAAGGGAGAAGGTTTGACCTGGATGATGCCTTGTGATAATGACCTTGTACAAACACGAGAAATGACCCCCAGAAAATGGCAAAGGTATTTAGCAAGGTGATTCAAAGACTGTCTGTGCTAATGATGTCTCCATATCTTGCTCTTGATGGGCAAAAGTTTAGAACTGAATTTGTGTCAACATCACAACCGAGGATGAAGCGGCCTAGATGTGTCCACTGCCATCTAGGAGTTCAAAAGAATCTGCCAACTGCAGCCTCTAGCATCTAGGAATGCATTGGACGCTTTTCACTGACAACTTTCGTTTTGAGCTATAGGAGACCTGTCCACACAGTAACTACTGTGTTCCCGTCTACTATACTGCTCTAGGTTTTCTGACAAGAACAACTGGATGACAATCATCTGCAAACAAGATTACTACTACTAACCATGGATGTCCTGCTAGCCCTCTCAGCTCTCGGAGAAAAGTGATGACAAGACAAGGTTTCACAACAGCAGCAACCTCACTAGACTACATGTACGTCCTCCTCAACATGTGTTCTACCCACCACATCTGTTACAACTCTCCCTCACAATATGTTCGTCTGACAATCCCTCAATCAATACTGGATTCATAATGCAATGTAGGAAGGACTCTTTCTCACTACTGTGCTCTAGGTTACGATGTATGTAGTAGAATGTAGTACAATGTATAATGTTAGACGTAGTCTCTCATGACATTGTGTTTCTTCTTTTTTTTTCATACATGTTGTTTGTACCTGCAATTATAATTAGCCCTCGGGTGTGTATTTGCAATAAACTTTCATTACTTATTGAGCAATCTTGTCTGGTCCATGTGACAGACCAAACACATGGACCAAGGGACATGGTACAATATGGGCTGTGTGACAGCAGGTTGTAACGTGTGTGTGGTTTCCCACCAGCTGTCCTCTCTTACGTAATACAGTTGATAACAAGTGTTGTCATATCAAACATATGTCATTGCAATTCAGACTTACATACCCTCTCATTTGTTCAATCTTTTTATTTCATCAATACCTTAATTTGATAGCAAGACTGGCTACCTAGTAGTCCAAACAATGTTTAGAGTTAGATGCTCAAGGGGTAGGTGTAACAGGTCAGTGTAACGTAGCCAGCTGCCACTGTACCGTGTGCCTGCAAAGCTGGTGTGTTACACCGAAGGGCGGTTTTAACTTATACTGGCTATACAGATACAGATATGATGGTTGACACTTTGAATGCAGTTATGTTTTTAATTGGTCAAGGCAAATGTAGTCACCAATTAGAAACAATAACCTTCATGAATACCTTTCTCCCTTAGGATAATATCTTGCAAAAACATACGATTAACCTCCAAGGACAACAGAGCATAGAAATAACACATAGATGAAACTTGTGGTGAGGTCAGTTGTGACAGCTGTCAGCAATGTCCACCCACATAAGTCTGGAAACCAGCCTTGTTTTGATGGCTTCATCTCAGGAAAAGTCCTACTTTTAGGGAAATGAACAGGAAGACAGCAGCCAAACAAGCCTGGATTTCAGACATATGCCTCTATGCAATATGACAGCATGAAGATATAAATAGCTATCTTAAACAACTTTAACATTCCCAATAACAGAGTGATGGGCTTTCTTTAGGCTGATTAGATGACATTTTCTATGTGATGAAAACTGGAAACCATGAACACAATCCATAACCACTGAAAGGGGTTGTCAAGTGCATCCTGGTTTGTCTATGCTGAACACATCTGTTACTAGGTCTAGTATTTGAAAGGACTAATACGAAAGGATTCAAAAATACCCAACTACAGGCCATGTGGCAATGGCAACATCTTTGTAACAAGCCAAAGGACAAGAGCTAGAATACATGTAGTTATATGGTGAATAGGGCCAATGCAGCAATTGCTTTTGATCAGTGGAGCAAGTCATTGCAGTACAAGTCATTTTTCATAGGGGGAGCTACCTTGTAAGCAAACTCACTGTCAAGTTGTCAACAGTGTTTATTCTGAAAAAAATCACCATTTACTGTAGGCTTTGAATGCCAAGGAAAGGCTTTATAAATTACCAACTGATGAAAGTCTGGACATTGTCCAAGTCTCTTAAAGGGAGGGTTCAAGGGCGGTACCAAGTATCAAGGTCATGGTTCTTTATTTACTAGCTCTTGTTGCTAAGATCCTGGGAGTAAACCAGTTACAAATGTAGATATACTACTTCATGTACTAGAATTAAAAGTGTAAAAAGGACTGGAGGAAAGAAAAGCAGACAGATGACAAGACCACAACAAGTTTTTTCAGTAGGAAGGGGCAGCACTGACTAGAATGGTGCCAAGGCTATACATGTACTATCACTACACTATAGTGCAGAGTGTCAATGTGAAAATTTTCATGATAGCAGTAGATCTAGTATAGTAGAAATACAGAACATATTCACTATGTTTATCAGGATTCACTAGTAGTACTAGTAGGAGACTGCAAAAATAAAACCACTGCGATCATTTCCCGATTTACAGTACTCGCTCAATCAATACAAAAGAGATGTTTTATGGCTTTTACTGGTGATGTAGAGAGGCACATCTGGTTTGAGGCCCCTAACCAGAGGGAGGGGTGACTCTGGTCCGCCACCTTGAGCTCAAGCTGCAAAACTTTTCCAGATCTGGGGAGCAAGTGGCAGACAAAATGTCGCCAGCCCTGGCAGGGAACCGCTGCCGTGTTTATGATACACAAACCAGATGGGAACATCTCTCTCTCTCAGCTCTAGCCTCTACCAGGCACCGCGGATCACTAGAAAAATAGTAGAAATTGGCCGAAATAAAGGGATAGTATACCAGAGAAGATCCCAGGCCATAGAATATCTAATTTGCGACCCACGGAATTCCGGAAATCTCAGCTCTGCAAATATACATTGTAGCCAAACTCCAGATATATATATATATATACTTAGCAAGTTCTTTTAGGGAGTGTTTCTGTCATGAAATTCCTTGTAATCAAAAACAAAACAAAGATTTTTTTCCCCTGGCAAAATTTGTTTTCAACCACTGTCATCACTCACACTCACTGTCATGTTTATGATACACAAACCAGATGGGCAAATCTCTCTCTCAGCTCTACAAAATATAGAGCCAAACTCCAGATACTTGGCAAGTTCTTCTGTGGGAGTATTTTTCGGTGGTAAAATTCCTTGTAATCAAAAACAATGATTTTTTTCCCAGGCAAAATTTGTTTTCAATAAATGAAGAAAATGACACCAGATCCTGTTTCAATATTATGATTAAAAACAACACAAGAATCTATATACATACATGTATAGTTATTATGGGCAAAATTTTCACTACAATTTAGTACAAATTCTTGAGTTGCCTTCAATGTTTGTCTGTCGGTCTTTCTCCAAGTAATAATATATAGGTGTAAAATATATACATATTATATAAAAATATATTGTACTAATTTTCAGACAGATACTACACCATTGGCAAGTGGCCCTCCTTTTTTTTTTACAATAAAAGCACAGTACTATACATGTACCTATTCTGAAACAGGTGCTTTTTCCTTGATCTTCTCTAATAGTAAATACAGGTGTGCATTGTCATATCATAATCATACTCATAATTCCTAGTACAGGAAAAGGATCTTAACTGCCCTAATTCATAACATAAAATGCGTCTATTCTTTCTAGACGTTGACCAGGATTTTAACAACAATTTCATCCTGCTTTGTGACCTTTTTAGTTCCAGCGACCAAAATAGCCCATATTTTCGGATACAAAAAAAAAAATGAGGGCGTTATTATTGTCTAATGAAGACCAGACGTTAGCTAGCGACATACCGGAGACTTGCGAACCAGACCAGATGGCAGAATCGGGAGAATCTCGAGCCGCAGGCATCCTGACCACAGTCTGGAGAAGCATGCCCTGTCCCTGGGACCAACCTCCCAACAACTACTGTACTGTAAACCTGGGCAAGGCTATATGTATGGGCTGCTGTGGGACTCAACCATTGCAGGGGGTGGGGGGAAACAGGTCCAACCTTGGCTTATACA